TTTTACTAGTCTATTTTATATTTTTCATTAATTATGACATTTATTTTACTTTCTAATTTTTATTTACATTCTAGTTACTTTACATAGAGTACGATATTGGTTTCAGGAGTAGAATTCAGTGGTTCATCACTTACATACAACACCCAGTACTCATCATAACAAGTGTCATTAATACCCATAAACTCTCAACTTTTTCTCTATCATTAAAAATCTATTATGGTTTGTTTCCCTCTTTCTTTTTATACTTTAATCATGTGTATAGCTGCCTCCCATGTTTAGCTATAAGCTTCTTAAGAACATGACTTACAGATATTTGTAACTCCAGTGGTTAGGATAGTAAATACTCAATACATATGTGTTTGCCAAAAGAACAAGACAGTAAATAAATAGTGCAAAGAGATACCTTCAGGGAATGGCAAGGACAGTCTACCTAGAAAGGAGAGTGTATGTAAGAGAGAGGTATGTGTCGCTGGGTGAACGTATGGCTTTGAGGAGACTAAAGAGATAGGTTGGATCTGATTGTTAATTCTACAGATACTTTACTAAGTTACCAAGTTATTTTATTTTTTTAAGATTTATTTATTTATTTATTCATGAGAGACATAGAGAGAGGCAGAGACACAGGCAGAGGGAGAAGCAGGCTCCATGCAGGGAGCCCGATGTGGGACTCAATCTCAGGTCTCCAGGATCACACCCTAAACCGAAGGCAGGCACCAAACCACTGAGCCACCCAGGGATCCCCAAGTTATTTTAATTCAGCATATAAGCAACAAGCAATTGTTGGAGATCCTGAAGAATCAGAGTAGCTTCTCGGCCTTTTGGCTAAGATCAAGTGTAGAATCAGAATAGTATTGTGTGGTTTGAATTTTGGAAAGATACTAGTTTAAATATTTTATTTATTTATTCATGAGAGACACAGAGAGAGAGAGGCAGAGACACAGGCAGGGGGAGAAGCAGGCTCCCCACGGGGAGCCCGATGCCAGATTTGATCCCGGAACTCTGGGATCACGCCTTGAGCCCAAGGCCAACGCTCATCCTCTGAGCCACCCAATGTGTCCCAAGATACTAGTTTAGAAGTAAAAGAATTAGGACCATAACAGTGCTTAGGACCTTGGTCTGCATCCCCTCACCCTAATCCAAATATCACCTTCAGACAGTGTCCTTACGTCTTGTGGACTACCTATGTCTTCTTCCTGGGATTAGTCTCCGGCAAGGAAGTTTTTTCAGTCTATATATATGGAGCAGGCCAGACTTATCTGTCAATAAATGCTCCCAAGAATATCTACCAGCCAATGTGGGTTAGGAATTGGTACAAAAACACCCCAGATACTTTTGCAACTCACTAGGACAACTTGGAGGTTGCTATACACCATTTTTTCAGAGGCTCCCAGGTGCAATTGAATCCCAGTTCCTCACAGTGGTAACCTATTCATTGACACTTGCTTAATCATCCTTTCCCTGTGCCACTTTCCCTCTTTTTTTTTTTTATAATGATTCCTGGAATAAACTTCCAAAAAATTTGTTTGACCTCAAATCTTTGTCTTAGAGTCTGCCTATTAGAAAAATCCAAACTAAATAAAATCATCATTTTCTCTTTTTCCTATAGAAAGAGGTGTGTCTTAAAGGGAGGCTGCGGATGGTATCTTTGTGCCATCTCTCTATATATTGAAAGGTATAAAGAACTCACCAAAACACTGTGGCTGTTTAAAAGGATTCTTATATTCTGAAAATTCACATTTATTTATAAGTAAAAACAACAACAGAAGATAAACTTTAATAGAGTCACACAAATTGCGCTTTGGCAGTAATGAACTAATTTCAGACACATTGCAAAGACATAAATGTCAAAAGAGTAACACAAGGGAAAATGGCAAATTTCTATAGAATTAAAATAATATAAAGTTCAAAAACTTGCAATATGGTTTTGAGAGACACAAACATATGGGGTAAAACTTAAAGAGAAATAAGAGAATAAGCATAAAATTCAGGAGAGTGATGGAAATGAGAGTATGGAATCGAGCTGGGATCTAGGGAGGACATCCAAGCTCTCTTCCTTAAACTAGGTAGTAGGACCCAGGTGTTCATTATATCAGAGTTCATTATAATTTACATATTTAATTAACATATATTCTTATGGTTTACTATTTAATAAAAACACTGTAAAATATATATCCAACAGGGTGGTGATGTCTTTTTGATGTTGTCCTTGATGATGATGTCATTTGATATTGTCATTATGTTATTTCTCACCAATTTAGCATTCCAATAACCACAGGCACTGTTGTTCTTCTTACCCCAGACGAACTACAAAAACATAAATAATGCTATTCTTTTAAGCTTGAATAATTATTTTTGTAAAGGTAAATCCAGTGTTCTTGACCCACTGAAAATTCCAAATCAAGTGATGGAAGCATTATTTTCCAACCATTCATTCATTCATTCATTCATTCATTCCAATCAACTTAATTTAGAACAAATCAGCAGAGTACCAGGGAGAGCAAAGAGTACACAGAATGGGCCTCTACTCCAGTGAACACTCCCTTAAACACTTGTCCTCACAATCCCCCTACACTGGGTGAGAGCCATCATCTCAGCTCCACTGCTAGTGTCCATGTCATAGGTGTCCACTTTTGATGCTCACATCGTAGTTTCTCTCTCCATGAGCTGTATGTAAAACAACATACATAGGTGAAATTGAACACAAGCATTGGTCATATAACAAATTTAGAGAGGGGCCAAAAGGAACAGTGACTAGAGACAGGGATGCCACTGAAGAATCTAGAATCCACCTGGAGTCAGATCTTGGATGCCACACCTAGACCATACTTGAATCCAGTGTTTCTGGAGATGTTGCTGCTGGAGCCACTCTGCTCAAAATGTTCTCTGAACCTCTGCTTTACACTTGTTCCTCACTGGCCTCCCTGCTCTTGGATATCGAATCTCTGTCTTTGCTTTGCCCCTGTAGATTAAATACTCTGCTAAGGGGTCTACCCCATTTGGGGTTTCTCAAATTGACATTTTTTCCCCAATTCCTCTTACATTGTCCCTTTAATTATAGAATACAGAAAGGTCACATTCCACCATCAAACCCAACCTGGTCCCCCACCCCCAGGCTAGACTCTTTCTTAGGCAGAAAGATGTCAGACACTACCCAGAGACGTGAGAGCTGCCAACATCTCTCAGAAACCCTGGGACAACTGGAGAAGTCAATTGTTTAAAGAAACAGAGATAAAGTCCTTTTGTGCAAGGCAGCCCTCCAAGCTAGGAACGGAGAGCTGAGCTGGAGAAAGAACCCTAAAAACAGGTGAAATCAATTTTATTTTTCCTGCAAGAACTCATAGATGGCAAATAGTTAAGAGATACCCACCCAAGGAATAATCTCTCACCACCACCACCCCATCCCGACACACACACACACACACACACACACACACACACACACAAAACCAAGGATTGAGAAATGTATTGCTTCTCTTTGTAAAAATCATTGTTCATCGCAGGGGAGGTGGGGAACAAACAAACAAAAACCGCTTCGATTTCAACACCTCTTCTGTGAGGTCCCTCCCCAGTCCCAGGAAAATGTACTCATTTTCTGCCTAATTTCATATCCTGATCACAGTATTTATCATGGGATATTCTAATTAGCTGTAAGTCTGTGGATTTTCTCCAGCAGATTCTGACTTCATTCAGGTAGACTCATGTCTTGCTCAGCTCTGCATTCCATAAACCCCCCCCCACACACACACAGTTATCCCTCATATGACATCTGAATGAGTGAAAACGAAAGGGAACTGGGTCTCATCTTTTATTCTTCCAAGTTATTCTACTTTGACAATCTGAGCAGCTACAATAAGGAAACTGAGGAAAGGGAAGAGATCTTCAAATGAACTCAGAAAGGCTTGAGAAGGGTTTGGGACCCACTAGATTTGAAATAACTCCAGATGTATTACTACCTTCTCTTTTAGGCTCTTGTTTACTGAGAAACAGCACCGGGAGGGATTCTGGGAGCTTAAGAGAAGAGAGGTGACAAGAATTTGTCCCTGCTGCAAGAACAGGTGCTGGCTCACCCCAGTGATGGAAGGCAAGACCCAGCAGCCATGGTCTGGTCTGGCAAGTTCCTTGGCTGCTCCCTCTTTCTAAGGAGTACAGACAGGAGAAGAGAGCTGGTCTCTGCCTCACCTCTCCGTTACCTTGCTCCCGATGGCCTTCTCTATATATATCACTGTGAGAATAAATTTCATAGTAACTATATTCCCCAAGTGGAATATTGTCCTCATTGCATTCAGCCATGAAAACACTAGTTCACCATACAGAAATAGTATGTCCACATTCTCATCCGCATGCTGCTGTACCGCCGCCAGCGTCTGCTTGCAGGTCTCAGCCCAGCAGATAGGGTTGGTAGCAGACAGGACACCGGTCAATACCTCTACTTCACTCAGACACCTGCCTCAGCCCCCAGCCAGAAGACTTTCTCTTTCCACAACTTCATTATTTTTAGGGTGTCACTTGAAGCCTTGGGCTTGCGCCTCTCTCATTTTCTTTCAACAACTCCTAGACCAATAAAAGTCGGGCTTAACCAATGCAGACATTTAAGGAGACAATCACTGCAGCAGGGATGAAGAAGTGCCAGGATGAGGGGGAAGGAAGAAGAGGAAGGGAGGTAGGTGGAGACAGAAAATAAATACTGGGAAGCAGAAGGTGCAGGTCATTCTGCCTCCTAGAGGGAGATCCCTCCTTTCTTCATCATCAGTATGAGATTCTCAAGAGAGCACAAGTCCCAGAGTCAGAAAAACCACCCTAGAGTCTTCACTCTGCCGTTCACTTTTTATGTGTCCTTTGATAAGTCACTTGAAGCTCCTAGAACCTTTGTCCCCACACTGTAAAATAGAGATAATTGTAATAATACTTGTGCATTCTGATTCAAAAATATCTATGAGAACCACATAAAATTGTTATATAAGCTACAAAGTGCAGTTGATGCCTTAGCTAGTGTTCTCTCTCTACAACTGCTCAGGAAGGAAGCCCAAGTGATATAGCACCTTCCTCAGAGATGACTTTACTTCCTTATTCCTGAGGCTGTAGATCAAGGGGTTCAGCATAGGGGTGACCAGGTTATTCAGGACCTGAACAGTTGCATCCAGCCAGGGGCTTGGGGTTGGCCTCAGGTAGATGAGGACCACTGGCATGTAGAAAAGCAAGATGGCAGTGAGGTGGGCACTGCAGGTGGAGAAGGCACGGCGTCGGCCCTCTGCAGAGCGGATCTGCAGGATGGAGTAAACAATGCGACTGTAGGAGGTGAGGATGAGAAGGAAGCAACTGAGGGGCATGAGGCCCACGCTGATGAAGCCCACCAACTCCAGGGCTGAGGTATCAGCACAAGCCAGCTTCAGCATCACCGGGATATCACAGAAGAAATAGTCCACCTCATTGGCGCCACAGTAGGGCAACTGGAAGGTGAGAGTGGTTAGAAAGGTGGCCTGAATGCAGCCAAAAAAGGAGGTCCCCATGGCCAGGATGGCACACACTCTGTGGCTCATTATCACCGTGTAGCGTAGCGGGTAACATATGGCGACAAAGCGGTCATAGGCCATCACTGTGTACAGGAAGCACTCGGTACAGCCCAGGAAATGGTAGAAGAAGAGCTGGGACACGCAGCCTGCATAGGAGATGACCCGGCTATTCCCTGAGAGGTAGAAGAGCATCTTGGGGGAACTCACAGAAGGGAAAAATATGTCGCACACAGACAGTTGACACAGGAAGAAGTACATAGGAGTGTGAAGCCGAGTGGAGGAGATAATCGCCAGTAGGATGAGCAGGTTCCCCATAAGAGTGAAGATATAGAAGCACAAAAACAGGACAAAGAGCATAGTCTCTAGATCCTCGGTGTGTGGGATGCCCAGCAGGATAAATTCAGTCACTACTGACAGATTCCTCATCGCTTTGAGAAAGTCAGACCTCAAAAAGGAACCCAAGACACCAAAGTCTGAACACCAACATCAAATTATCAAGCTTTTCACTGATGAGTGTTTGGTTCTGTTTTTAACAAGCAATAGCAGCCTTTTTATGAATGGCAAGATGTATATAAAAATATCAGATAATAAGTAATGCCGACATCAGAGCCACACTTCATCCCACTCCTGGGAAGAATGTTTTGCAAGAGGCTGATGGTTGTCGTGTGTGACACGATCAGAAGTTTAAAGATATATCCAAAATATTCTCCTGTTGAGAAATATTTATACAGCTGTTCACTTCTCTCTCTAGAATTTCCTCTCTCTAGGCATCTTTGTACTTTGAACTCTCATGAAATCTTTGAGTAACAAACTTCCATTAATTCATTTTCCTCTAGAAAAGCCAGGGGGGAAAAATTGCATTAGAAATCAGAGCACTTCATTTGAATCCTGGCTTTGCCATTTATTGGCTAAACTAGTTAAAACCACTTTTACATCTTTCCTAGATGTAGTTTCATCACTTACAAAATGAAAATCATAATTATAACAACAGTATCAACAAGAAAAATACCTTGGTATCTTAGTAAAGTTTGTGAAATGTCTGTAGGAGTCTCTGGCAAAAACGTAAATCCTAATGAAAAGCGTTCCTTTATTTTATGCATCTTAAAGTTATTTCTTTAAGTGCTTTCCTTTAATGTTGGCATTCTGCAATTATTTGTAAATAAATGCTTATTAAACAAATTATTGAATATACTCTTAAGCATATCCTCTTCTGATTACATCCCTCCAGACTTAAGATGTCTTATATCCCCATCTCTATCAGGAGATATTGCTCTGGTTCTTCTGGTGCTTTTAACCTTTTCTAAGTAGACTAGAGGCAATCCTGTAATATTAAGCAAAAGAAATAATAAAAATAGGAAAGCATAAATTTCATGTAACTGTGATGAAGAAATATAGGGACCCTTATAGCAAGGAGTCAAAGAACAGCTCACACAATGCAAGAGCAGGATATGGTACCTGGAAGACACAGAGGCCTCTTCCTCCCATTACTTATTTAATAATACTAATATATATATATATATATATATATATATATATATACAGATATAGTATACAGATATAGGATATAGATATAGATAGATATAGATATAGATATGGATAGATACCATTTAATGAATGTTTACTATGTTCCAAGAACTGGGCTCAACACTTTCCAAAGATAATACATTTTTTAAGTAAACTTGTAAGAAGAAGCTACTACTACCATTTCCATCTACAAATTAGGAAATTGACGCTTGGAAAAATCAAGCTAGTTGCCCAAGTTTACAAAGCTTACATGTGATAGAGCTGAGACCCAGATCCAGCAGCTGACCTCCTGCTTTGTTCCATCCAGACTTCATGTTTGTGCTTCGTACGAGTAATCATTAGGAAAACTGCATTTGGCCTCTGTTTTCTAAGACAAGCCTGTTCCACTACTAGGCAATGAGACTGTTCTAGATGGGTTCATGTCATCATTTTATATTAAGATGGGAAACGCCTTCTTGTCTTCTTCCTGGTTACTTTCAATCTTGACTTCAGAGCACACCTAGTTAATATGTAATTTAGTTTTGGAAATCAGAAACAGGCTTTCTCTATCCATTTGACACTAGACCTTAATATCAACCCCAATATAGGAGCTTTCAAGTGATAGAGTCACATTCAATATGGGGATCCAATCATAAGCTGTGGCAAGTAACACTTAAAAAAGTCAAAGAGAATGACCAAGCCAAAATGAGTCACTGATACATTACCCTACAATTGAGCAAAATTGAAGACAGCAAAGAGAGAAGAGTCACATTCTGGGAGAGAACTGCTGCTGCTAACCTGCTTCTTGTTACTAATTCTAGTCATACCAGACTAGTGTCCCCAACCAAAGCAAATTTTTGTGAGCTCTGGATCACCTCTCCTTGATCAAAAAAGTTTCTCAGAGGTCTGTGGTCCTTTCCTACAATCAGATATTCTATAATTCTGTAATCCTGTTTGATTTATAAGTCTATTTCAGGAAAAAGAAGTTCCCAGGGACCAGAAAAACCCTTGTGTGTGGACCTGCTGGTGTGTGAGAGGCAGAGGCTAACAATGAGACACAGGCAGTAGTCTGGACGTCACACAGTCCATCTGAGAGCACAGTCAAGTTTTCCAAAGTGTTGTAACAAGACCTCACCTTTACTGTCTCTGAGCAGAGCACAGAGTGCTCTAGCCAAAGGAGCTTCAATTCTCCTACTTATAAAGAACTGAGTCCCATATGATTTGTACACTCAAGACTGGTACATACTCACTCTCTCTGGATTGCTTCCTTGGAAGTTTTTTCGGACTCCCTTAAGCCCTACTTGGGACACAGAGGTAGCTCTCAGGGAGCAATTAGTTTTTCAATCTTATTTATCATCCAGCTATGAAATAATAGCAATAAGATCATCGGAAAGGGATGCTTTAAAGCAGGAAATACCTGTTCCTTCAAGATCACTCACATGGTAGAATGAGCTCCAATTCTATCCCTTTTTTTGGTTGCCTTATACACCTTCAAGGCTTTGCTTATGATATCATCTGTCATTTGCTTTTGAAGTCATCTATACATTCATGCGACTACATAGTTACTTCTAATAAACATCACTATTTGAGACAGAAATGTAATCAGTTAGTAATTATTTATTATGCATTTCCTATCATTATGTGTCCTTCAGGTTGGTACTCTTAAAGAGAAATATTTTTATACCGGACATCTGTAGCAGATGACTGGTATAAATAAAAGAACTAGCTATAACCTTTCTCAAAATGATTGACAAAAATGATTGACTAGCTAATCTTCAGTTAATCCATAGTAAGCATTTACCATGAGCTAAGTACCACACAAAGTTTTAAATTTATTACTACATTTAATCTCCAGTAGAAACCTTATAAAGTGGTATTATTTGACAAAGAAACTGAAAAGTCGGGGTGCCTAGTTGGCGCAGTCCATTAAGCATCCATCTCTTGATTTTGGCTCAGGTCCATGATCTTGGGATTGTGAGATTGAGCCTGGCATTGCACACTACACTCAGTGCAGAGTCTGCTTGGGATTCTTTCTCTCTGCCCTCCCCCCATTTGTGCATTCTCTCTCTCTCTCTCTCTCAAATGAATAAATAAATAAAATTTTAAAAAAAGAAACTGAAAAGTAGATGAAATAGCTTGAGGGTTACACAGCTAGATAGAGATTGAACTGAGACTGTAATTACCATGCTAATGCCTTTAAAGCATTGTGTTATGATGAATTCCAGAGATTTGAGTTTTGTACCCAAAACTAAGATGGAGATATAATGTGGTCCTCAAGTGCTTGCACGGCTGATGGTCTTGATATGTGGCCACTCCATGTGATGACTCAGGAATTAAGGGCGGATGAGGTAGGTGACAGATTTATTTTCAGAGTAGAAAGTGTTAAATTATTAGAAAGTGTACGTAGATGAAATATGCAGGCTTATGATGTGATTAGCTCCTTATCACTGGAAATATCCAAGGTGTGGAGAGAATCACCTTGTAGGTATGCCATTAAGAATATTCTCAATTTTAATGAATAACTTGAATTAATATTCTAATTCTAAAATTATCTGGTTTTATTTATAAAATCTGCAAAACTTTTCAATGATACTGACCTGGCACAATAAAAGTGGAATTTTTCTTTAATGATGATAATTCTAATTCCTATGCAAAAGACATTATGAATATGGTTACAAAAGTAACTATTGTAATACCAAGGTGTTGTGAAAACATTTTTAAAAAAGAGAAACAAGTCATGAAGGGAGTCCAGATGCTACTCAGACAAGGTCTCACAAGATGAGAGTGGCCTATTGAGATGTCTTAGTGAGTAGAACACAGTTTATTTTATTTTATTTTAATTTTTGTTTTATTATTTTATTTTATTCTCAGACCACAGTTTTAATAACAGCTAACATTTATTGTGCATTTGCTGTATGCTGGAATTGTGTTGAGTGCCCTACATGTATTCTCTCTTCCGGTTCTCATCAGAAATCTATTATTTCCCCCATTTCTAGTAGGAAATTCAGGTTCAAAGGGTTTAAGCAATTTAATCAAGGTAATAAAGTTGGTTAATGGTAGAGCTCTATCTGAAATCCAAGATAATATGACTCTTTCCTTTGAGACATAAAGAAAAATGTTCATAACTAATTCTGACTTTCAAATACTCATTCATAACTAATATCACCTTACTTTTGTCATTGCTTCAGTTCTCTGGGGCACTTTTATGTCATCTTAATTAATTCTATCAAGAACTTTGTAAGCTTGCAGCCCTTATGAGACGCATTTTGCAGATGAGAACACTGGAACTCAGAGCAACTGTGATTTTCCTAAAGTTAGACAGTAGATGAGCCCAGGCATTCCCAGGATTAGCCCTCTTTCCACTACATCATTATTGCTTCCAAATATGACTTCATACACAGCAGCGGGCCCTGCATCAGAGAGGAATTATTAGTAGACTCATCCTAGAGATTTAGGAGAGCCTTATGTATCCCTCATAGTCATTACTGTTTTTATCTTGTATTATCTGACAAGATTATGGCCTTACATTATGAAGAAGAGTGAGAGAGCAAGAGAGAGAAGTTTGCTCACTCATGTTCTGTTTCATAGGGAATAAATCCCAGAAAGTTCAGTAGATATTTCATAAGCAAGCTATGGCATATTTGCAGGGAAATTAGCCTTATACTGAAATCATCCTTGTTTTAATCAGAGGAAATCACCTGCCTTGTTTAACTCCTTTTCCCTCTACTCCAGGAATTTAAGTAAGTCTCTGGCATATTCCAGAAACAACTGGTTTCTCAATTAAGCATTCAGCAGAGCTTTCTGATTATAAGTAGCAGGGCTAAGTCTAGGTATTCTTGGTCCAGTGGCAGGTGCTTTCGTGTTTGTTGGGAGGACTGGGGCCTGGGGGGGATGGCCAAGCCAAAGTTTCCTCCTTTACTTCAAAAACTCTGGGGAAGAATTGAACTACAGAAAACAAATTGAGAGTTGCTGGAGAGGTGGGCAGGGGACGGGGTAAATGGGTAATGGGTATTAAGGAAGGCACTTGTGTTGAGTGTTAAGAGTGATGAATCACTAAATTCTACTCCTGAAGTCAATATTACATGATATGTTAACTAGAATTTAAAAAAAAATTAAGGAAAGAAAAATAAGTAAATAGAGGTTCTTACATCATGTGTAAAAAAAAAAGAAAAGAGGGATTCCTGGGTGGCTCAGCGGTTTCGCACCTGCCTTTGGCCCAGGACGTGATCCTGGAGTCCCGGGATTGAGTCCCACGCCGGGCTTCCTGCATGGAGCCTGCTTCTCCCTCTGCCTGTGTCTCTGCTTCTCTCCCTCTCTGTGTCTCTCATGAATAAATAGATAAAATCTTTAAAAAAAAGAAAAGAAAGAAAAGAAAAGAAAAGAAAAGAAAGAAAGAAAGAAAGAAAGAAAGAAAAGAAAAGAATTGGACTATGTGCCAAAATGAAAAAGAGCAGGATGATGGCTAGTTAAGGGGTGATAAATTTCTTAGGCTGCTATTTCTACTCTCTCTCTCTTTGTTT